GAGAACTTCCTGCCAGAGAGAGGGCTTCAACCTGGCAGAAGAGTCTTCTGCTGTTGCTGGTGAATATTTTTCCTGTTGTTGTTTGTTAGCTGATGCTTATGACCCTGAGCATAGATCCCTGGGACTCAAACTGGTGCTTATTTAAAATATATATATTTTAAAAGGCATTTAAACAATCCTGGATCTTTGCTTCTCTCTCTCTCCACTAAGAGATCAGATCCTGGTCCTGTGAGTTTTATTAATAATAAGACTGATAATCATGTAATAGATTCTGAATTTATATAGGACTTCATGTTTTATTTCAGAGCCAGTATGTTTAATTTCTTAGCGCTTTATCACCCTGATCTTTCCATATAAAAGAACAGACACAGGGAGGACACAGGGATAGCACGCAGAGCTAAACTTGAGCACAGGAATCTCTTGATTCCTCATGTAGCACTTTCCTAGAAATGTGTGAAACGTGGCAGCTGCAGTGACTTCAGATGGTCCAGGGCAGAGTCATCCCAGGCAGAGGTGAGGACCCTGGAAACTGGTTGCTGTACGTGGGACCCTCCTTCAAGTGTCTGTCTAGATCCCTGCCAACAACTCCATCTGGGTGAATCATCTCCTCTGAACCATCAGCGTCCACCCCCGGCTGCTTTGATCATTTCCTCCTGAGAGTTGCATGTGACTAAAGCCAATTAGGATCTTCCCCAGCCTCTCCAAGCTGTCCTGTGCTCCTGGGGACAGAGCTCCAGAGTGGGGCACCTCCACGCCACTCAGCTTTGGGCAGAGGGATGCTGTGTGGCACCCCAGAGGCTGGAGGAGGGTCTCCTGACTTGCCTGCTACGTCTGCTCTTACCAGCCTTCTTTTGAAGCTGGGCAGATGCTCTCCCTTCTCCCTTCTCTTTCTCAGCCCTACCCAGCCCTCCTCTTAGGGTTCTCTGTGTGGATCTGGGGACCTGCGTCCTTATAGCTATGTGTGAACCTTGCTAAGTTGGTTGGAAGGGCAGTTTTCAGCCTCTGTGCCATGGCCCTTGTCAAAATCACTGGGTTATAAGAAAGTTGTTACAGATAATAGTCAGGCTGCCACCTCTGCTAACAACTTGGCTTTTATTAAATTAGAACAGATTCAAGGTTACCCCTTGGTAGAGTCATGTCACTTTCACCTTCTCCTGTGTGATATGTTGTCCTGACAAGGGCCTGGAGTTGCAGTAAGCACTGAAGTTCCTGCTCTATCTTATCAGCGCCAGCTGGTAGCGAGGCGGGCCCTGGCTGGCCTTGGGAGGGTGATCACACATGAATGTCCCTGGTGCTGAGGGCCGGAGCAGGATGGGCTTGGGCCCAGCTGACCTTCACTGGGGTGGTGCGGCCCTCCAATTACAAAGCCAAGGCTGGAACCTGGAACTCTGGGATTGTTTGTCTCCTAGGGCTGCTGTAACCAACAACCACAGATCAGGCACCTTAAACAGAGGATGTTGATTGTCTCAGTGCTTGAGGCTAGAAGTCTAAATAAAAGCAAGGTGTCAGTTCCTTTTGAGGGTTCCAGAGGACAATGCTTTCTTGCCTCATCTAGCTTCAGGTAGTGGCCAGTAGTCCTGGGTGTTCCTTGGCTGCATCACTCTGGTCCCCACCTCTTGTCATGTGGCATTCTCCCTGCGTCTGTCATCACATGGCCGTCACCATCTTCTCTTATAAGGACACCTGGAGAGTTAAGAGACCGCCCTAATGACGTCATCTCACCTTGACTGCAAAGACCCTATTTCTAGATAAGGTCACACTCACTGTATTGGTGGTTAGGAGCTGTGGACCACAGTTCCACTCAAACAGGCAGTTATCTCTTCGATGAGTGCTGTTGACTCCTAGAAGGAAGCCTGGATTTGAATTCAGTGGGGTCTCTCTGAGATATCTATATACCAAGGCTAGGGAGATTCTAATTTGAAGCAAAGGCCTGTGTGTACTCCTAGTTCTGGTCTTCTTGAGGGCACCAGTCACACCTTTGGCCCACTGGGTCTCCTCTGGGGTCCGGGCCAGAGCTCTGAGGCCACGTGAGAGCCATAGCCACTAGTGCTCATTCCTGCTCCAGCATTGTCCAGGCTCCGAGCATCACCCAAGAAGTCCATCCCACCGGAAGACACTGTTGCCCACCTTGATTGCCCTTACCATGAAGACTAGCCCTAGCACTTGTTCCAGCATCAAGGGGGATGGGCTGGCATAGGGAGTACTGGGTGTCACTACCACCTCTGGAGGGCTGGGTCCTATGCCCAGGACTTAGGGACGTTGCAGAATAATCACATCCACGGGAGTGGACATCTTATACCTTATACAGAGAGTCAGACAGTGTGACTTAGATGGACAGTCTTTGACTAGTGATATTAAAAACTTCCAGCAGGATGTGGAGAAAAAGGAACTCTCCTGCACTGCTGGTGGAATGCAAACTAGTACAACCACTATGGAAAACTGTTTGGAGGTTCCTCAAACTGCTAAACATGGAGCTTCCATACAACCCAGCTATCCCACTCCTAGATATCTACCCAAAAGACACAAAAACACTGATTGAAAAAGATACCTGCACCCCCATGTTTATTGCTGCTTTATTTACAATTGGAAAGACATGGAAACAGCCCAAATGCCCAAAAGTGGATGACTGGATTAAAAAGATGTGGTATATATACACAATGGAATATTACTCAGCAACCAAAAAAAAAAAAAAAAAACCAAAAAACAAACACATGTCTTTTGCAGCAACATGGATGGAACTAGAAGGGATCATGTTTAGTGAAATAAGCAGAAAGAAAAGGAAAAATACCGGATGGTTTCACACATAGCAGGAGTATAATGGACCAGGCAGGCAAGAACATAATAATGATAATGAACAGCTATATACCAGAGACATTTTACGGGGGTGGAGTGGGGAATGGGATCAAAACCAGTGAGGGGAGGGAAGTGCACTGGACTGTGGTGATGGCACATGGGTGAATTGGTGATGGGAAGCCCACGGGGATTACAACTGAGATGGAAAAAGGCACAAAATGATGTAAAAATAAAATATTATTTATTTATAAACAAAAAACACAAAACAAAACCTCCAGCATCACCCTCCTCTAGGCTTTGTGTACCTGGATATCCAGGTTTGCCACAAACTGCCTCCAGGGGAGAAGTCAGGGCCTCTGCTGACCCCATTGTAGACTTTGGGTGGGGATGTGCCTTCCCTCCCCTCTCTATCATGTTCTTCCCTATCAGGCTTCCTGCCCCTGAGGGGGAGCTCCCCTCCTCTGTCCTCACTTTAGGGGGTGCTTCCCCATTCTCTCCATCCTTCCTCCCTCTTCTTTCTCTCATCATGGCTCTTGGGCGCAGGTGTCTGAGGAGCAGGCAGAGTGACTAGGGGGCCAAGCCTGTGCCAGACTCGGCCCTGCCAGGCCCACAGGTAGGTGAGGACCAGAGCAGCCCAGTGGACCCCACAGTGATACCTTCCAAGTCTACCCATGAAGGGAAGCCGGTGGCTCCAGCTGCGAGGTGGAAGATGCCTTTCCTCTGTGTCTGAATGTGTGCACACAGGTGCACGAGTGCTGAGTCTCGGACTTCGGTGCTTGCTGTTGTTACAGTCTGGGTCAGGAGGAAGGGGACCCCTCCTCTTCAGCCCCCCCAGCCGTCAGAGTGAGACAAGGACCAGCGAGAAAGGAGGAGGAAGACAGATGGAGGAGCAGGAAGGGGGATTGGCTGGGCTGAGGTCAGTGGAGTCAGAAGGGCCTTCTGCCCCGCCAGATGTCAGAAGCTCTTACCTGCAGTCTAGAGGACAGTGCGGCATGGCCGGCTGCAGGGCAGGGGGCACTGTGCCAGGGGGTACAGGGCCCGGTAGAGGCTGCCTGGTTTCCCTTGGATGGGTCTGACTGGAGCCAGGGTTGGGTGGTAACGGGCCCCAGGCAAGGTTTCCCTCCGGAAAGCTGGAGGGCTGGGACTGGGGATGTGGGGGGTGGATTCTCTCATGAGCAAGGCTTGGTAGGGGAGCTGTAGCCTTCATTGGCAGGACACGACATTCTTTCGAGGTGATAGTGAGGGTCCTTTGGTCATTTAAGTGGTAGCAGGTGTCGGGCTAAGTTGCGGCGACTTCAAGATGGGACACCGGAGAAGGAGATGGTGGCAGAGTTGGTGTCTTGGAAGGTTCAGCCTGATCTTCTAGACTCTTAATATAGTGATAGTTATTCTTGCCCTTCGCCCCCCAACCTAGGACATAGCCAGGGAGCGTCCAGACATCAGAGTCGCTCATCTGGGGACTTCCCCGGGTTCTGCCCAGCTGGCCCTGTTGTGTAACCACTGTTCCGAAGGCAAACACTCAGGCAAACACTCCGCCTGGGGATGGGACTGCAGACCAGCACTCCCCGGTCACCAGCAAGGGCCAGATGGAAAGTGGGGAGTGTGCGAGAGCAGCTAACTTGTCGCAATCATGTTGTCATGGTGACACAACTCTGTTTAGCTGCCTCTCCATGGTCCTAGCCCACATGGACTAAAATAAGTTTTATCTGCAGCTTCCACAGCAGGCAGCCTGCTCTGCCAGGGTCAGGCCTCTGTCCAGGGTGTGTGTGTGTGTGTGTGTGTGTGTGTGTGTGTGTGTGTGTGTGAAGGCTGGATCATATACATTGACTCTTCTCCCCTTTTCCCACCCCAGTCCCAGACCTCTATCTCCTTAAGACTTTTGTCTCTCAGATTTCAGTGTACATTGGCATGGCCTGGAGAGCTTGTTAAATAAAACCTAGATTCCTGGGCTACATCCCTGGAGATCCTGGGGTGCACCCAAGAATTTGCATTTCTGACAAGTTGCCAGGTGATGCTGATGCTGGTGGGCCAGGACCTCACCTGGTGTGACTGCTTTAGAGTCAAGGCCATCCCAACTAAGAAAATGCACTACAGTTTTCCATGGTGTGTGTTGGACTGTGTCCGTGAGCCCCGCTGCTCAAAGGGGAGAAGGGGACAGCCCAGGCAGCCCTCTCTCACTGCTTCTGTGTGTTCTGGCCTCTTCACAGGAAGCAGGAGCTGGCCAACAGCTCGGATGTGGCCCTCCCGGACCGGCCGCTGTCTCCTCCTCTCACTGCCCCCCCCACCATGAAGGTAAGATAAGGGGTTCCGAGTTGCTAAGTGGTAAGGGGCTGGGTGGGGGAAGTCTCAAGGCCTGGCTCTTGCTTTGGCTGCAGGCCCAGCTCTGTCCCCTGGGCGGCCTTGGTGCCCTGACATCCCCGGAGGCAGCATCAACTTGAGCTCCCCAATGGGAGAGGAAAGTGTGACTGAGACTCAGAGGTTTTAAGGGGCAGTGAGGACAGTGACAGGCTGAAGTGGGCTTGGAGGGAGCTTGGGAATTAGTGTGAGGCCTTATGGAGCTGCGGGGCTCCAGCACAGGGTTCCGGCAGGATTAAGTGGGGGACACTTAGAATGCATTGGGTGCCCTAGGGTCTACTGGTGCCTGGGGTCCTGTGGGCTGGGGCCCTCCTGGGACTTGAGTGACTTGCTCATGCTGGCCTACCTGCCTCTGTCTGAGCCTTCTGGTCTGTCCCCATCACCCCAAGCTCTGTGGAGAGTTGCCCTGGAGTTTCTGGGGTTCAGTAGTTCTTCTCCTATTAATATTTCATTGACAAATCTGTCCTGGGAAACCACATTCCAGAATCTCAGACACAAGCCCTTCTCATTTCTAGTCCCTCCTTAGACTGTGCTGTCTGCCTTCATGAAGGGTAGCTCTGCCTTTATATTTTAATGCCCCCTGGAAGGATGGCCCCAGAGACCTCAGCTGGCCCTCAGGGAGGGGTTTTGGCTCAGCCAGTATCCCAGTGCTCTTCCCTTCTCCCTCCTTCAAATGTCCGAGGAGGACTAACCCTGAAGCAGTCACCTGCCTCCTGAATCATCTGACAGGACATCAAGCCAGCCCCATCTTTGTTTTGGGGCCCTACTGTGTGGTGACTCACATGGAAATAAGTAGGCATTTCTTCCCTGCTACTCCTTGTTGTCTCTCTCTTCCCTGACCTGATCCATTGCAAGGTGATACCCCCAAAGGAAGTAGATAAAAACCTTTTCCCATTGTCATCCTGGACACACAGAGCTGTGTGGTCTGCACAGGGGGATGGCAGGGGAGGGCAGCCTGAGCCTGCCTTGGTTGGATTAGGAGTTCAGGGTTGGGTAGGGCATAGGCCTGACTCATGTGGTAGCTACCCAGAGGGCACTGAGAAGCCAGCCCCCCTTCATCAGGCTAACCCCAGTGCCGGGACCTGTGCCAGGTGCCGGGGGGCTCATTTGCACACTGTCATCCTCAGAAGCACATCACTATCCTGAGCTTCAGCAACTTGGTCTGCAAAGTTGGTTGTGGCATGCTCAAGGATGGTGAGAGTATAAAAGGAGGAGGAAGTCTCGTAGGAGGAGTGGCCAAGCTCCCTTGGAAGGTTTTACCAACTCATATACCCATTTCATTAATCCAAGACCCAGTATTTATTTGAAGTTTCTATTAGTCAGGACTCTTGGTTGCAAGTGACAGAAACATAACTCACTTTGGCTTAAACATAAAGACAAATTTATTGCCTGTGTGATAGCAAGTATAGACTGTAGGCATGGCTGCATCCAGGAAATCTGTCTCTTTCCATCTCCTGTTTGGTTTCATTTTTTGTCAGGCTATGCTCTGCAGTAGCAGCATGGCAACAGCAGCTCCTACCTGGTTAGGAGCTCCAGAGGAAAGAAGAATGTATTTTTCCTGGGACTTCTAATAATAGTCTCTGGGAGGAAGCTCATTGGCCTGTTGTAGGTCACATGATCTATTTCTGAACCAACCACTGTGGAAGGCTCTGATTGGCCAGGCCTGGGTCTCAGGCTCTCACCTACCCATAAGAACTAGGTCTCAGGCCATCACCTACCCATAAGAACTGAGTGTGAAGGGCAGAGGGGTTTCTCAAAAGAAAGCGAGGTGCTACTAGGAGAAGAATAGGAGGCCACGCAAGGCCAACAACTTCCTGCTGAATGCTGATCAGAGCTGGCTGCTGGGGGCCTGGGAGCCAACCTAGCATGTGGAGTCTGGTTTCTGGGAGCTGGTAGTCTAGCTAGGGAGCAAAAGGTAAAAAAATAATTTCAAGAGACGAGGGACAGAATGTTAGGTGTGATGAATGTCCCAGAGGATAAAACAGTGTAGCCAGGGGACAATATTAGTGTGTGTGTGGGAATCTAACCTAAATCAGGAGAGGTTGTGTGGCGCTCAGGACGTGATCTCTAAAGTAGGCTCTGAGAGTCGAGTGGGGCTTAGGTGCAGTCAGGGGGAAGAGAAAGTTCAGAAATTGCTACTTCAAGTAAGGCTGAGGGACTAGCAGTGCCTGTGGCACTTGGAAGTGCTGTAGACCCTCACTCCGGATAGCTGAGTCGGAGTCTGCGTTTGCTGACATTTCCCGGCACATGGATGCGGGAGGAGAGCTGCCGCGGCCCGAGGGCTGCAGGCGGGAGAGAGGATGCTGCTCTGGAGCCCAAAGAAAATGAGACAGAGCGGAGAATGCAGTTAGGGGCGGAGAGACAGTCCTTGGAAACTTTGCTAAAGATTTTGGTCTTTTCCCTAAGTTGGGGCAGATAAGTCATTAAAGGTTTTAAGTGTCGTGAAAAGGGAGATGATAGGGCTTTGGAAAAAATTGCCTTGGCTGGTCGCAGGAGGATGCTCGCGGGAGGTAGGAGGATAGTGGGAGAGGAGTCGGGAGGCTGCTTGCGGATATTGGGGAGAGGATGGCGGCCTGACCCTGAGGGGCCTGTGGGACCCCTTGGACGTGGCCAGCTCTTCTAGGAGGCTGACTGATGAAATATGGGGGTTTGGGGACAGGTAGGAGATAAGAATGGCCCCAGGTTTGGAGCGATTGGATAAATGGCACATTCTCTGAGATGGGGTGGCCCAGGAGGGAGGTTTGGGGTGATATTTTCTGTGCTTGAGACACTACTGGGGATATCAGTGAGCAGCAGAGTATTTGGGGGCAGGCTCCGAGGAAGGGTGTGAAGCCAGAGGTAAAGTCACAGAGAGGGTGAAACTGGGCTCGGGGAGAGGAGGCTTTCAGCCCTCCAGGGAGAGGGTAGGGAGAGAAGATTCCTGGGGCAGCCCTGAGGTAAAGCTGGTGCTGAGGAGGGCCTCGCCAGGGAGGGACAGGCAGCTGTGTCGGCTGCTGCCAAGGCCGAGTAAGACGTGGTGGCCATGTGGGTTTGGCAGCCTGGAAGCGAGAAAAGTTCTGGGGAGACGAGGTGGAGGAGTGAGCAGAGGTGGAGTGACAGTCAGGAGGAGTAGACAGGGCTTGAAGGTGGGACACTTGAGTGTGTGGACTCTGCTCCCGTGAACCTCCGGCCCCCAGGCAGGCCCAGCGCAAGCAGCCACGGGACGTCTTACTGACCCGCAGCCGGGAGACAGCCCACCCCAAATGCTCTGCCCTTTCTTTGAGCTCAGCTCAGGAACTTCCCAGCCTGTGCTTTTACTTTCCAAAGTCCCAAAGCCAGAGTCAGAGCTGGGAACTGAGAGGAAGGACCCCTCCTGAGTGGTCATCTTGAGGACTCACGCTGGGGTAGGGACCTTTTGTGGGGTAAGGGTCCGCATATGTGGGCTACCTGGGTCTCCTGTGACTGTTCTTCGGACTCATTCTGTGTCTAAGACTTAGCCTGTGAATATGGGGCCTAAACCCACGCCCCTCCTTTCCTGCTCAGCGCAGAGGGCATGTTCTTTGGACTACGCTGACCATGTCCATTGCTGGTGGTCCAGCTCCTCCCCACCTTGAGTTCTCGGGGCCAGTGACTGCGTCTGGTTCTGTGGGCCCCAGACCTGGGGGTGGGGTGGCTGCCTGGTGGATGTCCAGCCTGTGTTGGCTGTATGGGATATTTAGCTCGCGGGAGCTTGCCATCGACCTACAGCAGAGCTGGCTCTCCAGGTGAGACTTTTCTAAGTTAAACCTACCAGCCTATGTTCTTCAGGATGGGGACTGAAGCCCTGTCCTTCCCCACCAGTTCCAGGTGGAGGCATCTGTAGATCGGCAATGTCCTCAGTGTGTGTGTGGAGGGGGGTTGGGGGGGTCATCAGGCCTCTGCTCCGCTGACCCTCCCTCCCTCCCTTGGTTACTGCACAGAGTGATGGAGTTGGGAGGTCTGAGATGTCAGCCTGGAGGCTGGAGGCTCTCTGAGGTTCAGCAGCCCCCCGCAGCCCAGCATCTGGTTAGTGTCTCATGACATTTCCTTGGCCATGTAGGCTTGGGGCAGGGAGTGCAGGGGGTACCATTTTGGCCGATTAGCTTGGGAGACAGAATATGAGGGATGGGTGATTCATTTCCTTCCTAGGTAAGCTGGAGGCCCAGAAATGGGAAGTGACCCCGCGAAGGTCCCACTGAATAGAGTTGTGTTCCTCCTAGTGAGGGTAGAGTAAGTTAAAGTCCCAGACCCAAACCTTTTTTGGTAAAGTGCTCTTCTCATTCCACCCTGCCCCCCAGGGACTGCCCCAACTCTAGCTGCTTGTCTCTCCAGGAAGGGACTGCTGGAACAGTACTGGCCTCCAGCCCAGAATCTGCCCCCCAGGCATCTGCCCCACTGACATGCCTGCTGCAACTGGCCCTTTACTCCTGCTCTCCCACCTCTTTGCTGTTTGTGTTTTCAAGGGGATTTTTTTTTTCTAATACAAAGCTGAGAAAAAGCAGCCGAAGAGATGCTGGGCAGATGGGCTAAAAGAGAGCCCAGCTCCCAGCCAGAACCGACTGTGGATGGTGCAGGGTGAGCTGGGAGCGGGGTTTGGGGTGTCTCCCTGGGCATGCTGTGATTGTTTCCCAGCCCACATTTTGTGTGATCTGGTTTTTATACCCACATGGATCAATAGGCATTTCGGAAGTGCTGCCTGTGCGTGGCCGGTGTTGCACCAGGCCCTGTGGGGTCAAACCACGGCCACGGTCCTCGAGTCTCAAAGAACTTGCTGTCTCAGGGGACCTGAATGAGCAGAAGAAACCGTATGGCTCAGCAGTGACAAGTTCAAGTGTTTCGTGTGATTTCTCAGTGGGGTGCAGGGTTTTGAAGAGGCTGGGCGGTGGGATGGGGATGTTGGAGGGGTCCTGATGGCAAGCAAGGGGTAGGACTCTGCTGAC